GTTTGTCAGTGTCTAACAATTCTTTCTTATATTTTTCCTGAAGGCGCTTGACTTTGGCAGATATTGAGAGAATAGCCCCATTGGCTGAGGGGGCCTTACCTTACAACCTGGCAGAACTTCAGAGACAGGTATGAGTAGTCTCATAAATATGATCACCTTAAAAAATGCTGAACTAGTAGCCTGAGTAGGAGCTGACAGCTTCTGAATGCTGTAAAAGTTAAAAATTACTTTCTAGAGAAAGACTTTACTTAGCTTAAAGATTACCTTTATAGAACTACTGTTACCCCCACTTTTATAGAATATATATATATGTGTGTGTGTGTGTGTGTATATATATTTTTAGATGGAGTCTGGCTCTGTTGCCCAGGCTGGAGTGCAATGGTATGATCTCGGCTCACTGCAACCTCTGCCTTCTGGGTTTAAGAGATTCTCCTGCCTCAGCCTCCCGAGTAACTGGGATTACAGGCATGCGCCACCACAACTGGCTAATTTTTGTATTTTTAGTAGAGTCAAGGTTTTGCCATGTTGGGCAGGCTGGTCTCAAATTCGTGACCTCAGGTATCCACTCACGTCGGCCTCCCAAAGTGCTGGGATTACAGGCATTAGTCACCATGCCCAGCCTATAGAACATTTTTATGAGATAACTAGATTTATGTTTGTGTTTTGTTTTTTGTTTTGTTCAGATAAGGAAAATAAGAGTTCAAACATACATCGGTTTGACCCCCTTCCCCTTAGAATTAGCATTCTTTTCATTTGCCTCGTCACATTTGAAGATAATTGTTAGGTTTACTTTGTATCATTAAACTGGCATTTATAGGGTTTCTAAAATAAAAAAACTTCCCTCAAATGAAATAATTGATTCACTGGGATTGTGCCTTACAGATTACAACCTGGGGGAAAAAAAAGTAGTGAAACCGGAAAGAAAACCTTGACTGTTATTACATTTTTGATAAATATTAGTTTTGGTTTTTATAAATGTTAAGAATGATTAAAACAGTAGCTTCTGAGTCCTATAAAATTAATACAGTCCCATTTCTGATTACAAGTACTATCTTGGTAAGAAAAAGAAATTCCATGAAATTACCTTGAAGAGTGGAATGGAACAGTTTTTAACAAATCTTGTTTTGAGTTGAAACCTCTACTTCTATAGCACTTTCGAAGTTTCAGTGGTAGCAGATGATCACATTGCTTTTGTGTGTGGATAAGGGTTAGGAGGGCCAGTCATTGTCCTCCTGGTACTTTCCTGCTCCAATAGACATGGAGCCTGCGTTCCTCATAATTCTCTAGGAGAGTGTGATGCCATACTAGGCTAGGCAACATGGGGAGGGCATGGATAAAGAAGACAGGATACAGAGAGAGAGACAGAGAGAGAGAGAGAGAGCACGCTACTAAATGTGCATGCTGTAGAAAGAGGCTATGTCTGCTCTTTCTTCATTGCTGCCACATTGGTGAGTAGCCAGGGTTGGTTTGCTGTTATTGTTCACCTTCACCAAATGTGTTAATGAAACATCAAGATATGTTTAAGTGTAGTTCACTTTGGGAAGACTTGGTCGGAAACCTTTCTTCTACTTGAGCTCCGTGGAATGATGATTCTGCCTGTGAAACTAATTAGAATTTCCAGTTCTACTTTACATAAGGAACAACAACATTTTGTAGTCAGGTTGAAGCAAATTGAAAATGGAAAAGAAACCATTATATCTACGTTTTGTGTTAATACTTTGTTTACTTGATGTGTAATAAAGCTTCCTACAGATTAAAATGTATTGTAACTCATTGCAATTTAGCTTCTTTTGTATCAGAAAAACTCTTTTACCTGCTGCCATCAAAGTTTATTTCCAGGCTGGGCCCAGTGGCTTATGCCTGTAATGCCAGCAATTTGGGAGGCTGAGGCGGGCAGATTGCTTGAGCCCAGAAGTTCCAGACCAGCCTGGGCAACATGGCACAACCCCATCTCTACCAAAAAAAAAAAAAAAAAAGCAAAAAATTAGCCGGGTATGATGGGATGTGCCTGTAGTCCTAGCTACTTCGGAGACTGATGGGGAGAATCACCTGAGCCCAGGAAGTTGAGGTTGCAGTGAGCCGTGATTGTGCTACTGCACTCCAGCCTGGGCAACAGAGTGAGACCCTGTCTTAAAAAAAAAAAAGAAAAAAGTTTATTTCCATTATGAGGTCTCAAATCCTTTAAAAATAGATGGATTTATTTCAGTTCAGTGATTTTTAAAAAATAAAATTTTATAAAATTACAACATTTAATAAAAGGAAAGAAGGTGAAAATTTTTTAATAAAATTAAAAAAGACATTGAAATATTTAAAGAGCTCTTACTGAATTTAATTTTTTGTAGTATATACATTTGTGAAAATTTGCTCTTGAATTTTGAAAAATTGCATTTCAAAAGAAGATATTTTGCAGTATTACATATGTCTATTGATATAACTCTCCCTGAAGGTGTCCTTAATATTTGTAATTGGGAAATATTTCATTTAGCGTATTAAAAACATTGTAAACTGAATTTAAAAATCTCAACTCATTTCCTCCTCCTCAGTTTTTCTGCCGCTTAGTTTTCTATTCACCCACCTCTCTTGCCCCTAGCAATTTTCCTAGAGGCCATATCTGAAGCTTGTTTTGCAATCTTTGGCACCCTGAGTCTACGTCCTTCACGTTTCTTCATCCTTAGGAAAGTGATGTAATTTTGCTACTGCTGTAAATTCTTTTTAAGACAGATTCAAGATGATTTGCCTGTCTTCAGTGGCGGTGCTGATGCTTTTATGCTGGGTTGGGTGGCCTCAAGGGTCTTGTCAGATATTTAGGAAATGGGCAGTAATAAAAACCACCATTTTCTTCTTCCCTGGGTCTCTGATTGGTATCCAGAGTGATGGGGAGTGCTTTCTCTGCCTTTCCTTAACCAGTGAGATGGTACAGGGATCTAGAATTTCTAGAGAGCTGGTAGAGGTCTTAGGTATTCTTACATTGTCCCCAAAGGAAGAACCTCAGAGTCTCAGGACACTTTTTCTTTTTTTTTTTGGTGGAGACAGAGTCTCACTCTGTCACCCAGGCTGGAGTGCATTGGCACAATCACTGTTCACTGCAGCCCTGACCTCCCTGGCTCAGGTGATCCTCCCACCTCAGCCTCCTGAATAGCTGGGACTATAGGCATACACCACCATGCTCAGCTAATTTTTTTTCAGTAGAGACAGGGTTTAGCCATGTTTCCCAGACTGGTCTCAAACTCCTAAGCTTACATTAATCCACTGGCCTTGGCCTCCCAAAGTGCTGGGATTACAGAGTGCATGAGCCACTGCGTTCAGCTAAAATGTTTAATGTTTCCTCTCACATAGAAAATAGTCTTTCTACTGAGGCTTAGGTACAGAGAAATAAAAATTAAGATCTTAAGTATGTATTTTCCTCTACATTATTATAGGAATAAAATCTGAGAAAATAGAACTCAACCGAAATAATAAATAATTATTAGAGTTTTATAGAAACAGATTTGTGAAGGTTAAGGATTCAAATTAATGTCCACTAATGGCCATTGTGAAATCTGACCTTTACTGTCCTTGAGATCTGATACAAGTTTATTTGGGCCTCAGTTTTCCCTTTAGTAAAGTGAGTATCTTCATGTATTTCTGAGAAGCCTTCAAGCTCCTGCATTCTGTAAAATGGTATGTATCAATGGATTTTATTTTCAGAATTCTAAATTTATCCTCCTTTTTCCTTTGTAACATTTAAAATTTTGTAAGGAATTCAGGCTGGACTCAAGTAGAATAATATGAAAATATGCTTAAGTTCTTATAGCAACCAAAGTAATAGAATAAACTTTCTTCAATTTTCAGCCTTGAAAAAACATTCTCAGTTAACGTATTTCAGGTTTAGGAGGCATTCTAAGGCGGCCATATAGACTACAATCCTAGTGACTCAGTTTTTAACATTCTTTAGTTCACAGAATTACAGTAATGCTAACCATAGCTATTCCCATGTTACTTCCAGAAGATATCTTGATTTGATTCTCTTGTGATTCTTCCTATATTGCCAAATTAGTAGTACATAATTACTTACATTTATTATGCAGAGTATTCTCTTATATGAATATATTAGAAACCTAAATATAAAATAGGAAGAAGGATATATGTTTTGTTATTTCACCTTATGAAAGGTATTATGAAAACACTTGTTTATGATGGAGAATCTGTGAGTCCAGAAATAGAAGTTATGAGGGAGACAGTAGTTAAGAGGTTGGCCACTGATTATGTAACATCCTCTCATTCTGTTTCCTCGTTTATTAAATAGGGACAGTATGCCAGGCACAGTGGCTTGTGCCTGTAATCCCAGCACTTTGGGAGGCCAAAGCGGGCAGATTGTTTTGAGCCCAGTAGTTTGAGACCAGCTGGGCAATATGATGAATCTCTTTCTCTACAAAAACATACAAAAAATTAGCCAGGCATGGTAGAATTAGCCAGGTACATGGTAGCACCTGTAGTCTCAGCTATTTGGGAGGCCGAGGTGGGAGGATTGCTTGAGCGCAGGAGTTTGAGGCTGCAGTCAGCTGTGATCATACTACTGCAGTCCCGCCTGAGTGACAGAGCAAGACCCTGTCTCAAATAAATAAATAAATAAATAAATAAATAAATAAGGATAGCAGTATTCATCTTTACAGGATTTTTATGAGAATTGCATGAGTAATAATACAGTTACATTAAGTCTAACACCTGTTAAGCATGCAACAAATGTTAACTGCTATTATTGTGCTTATTATCAAATATGAGAAGCCTGTATAAGCAAACTCCAAGATGGGCTGAAACATATATGTGACACAGTCGCTTAATCTACTCTCATCTACTTCCATTAGGTAAAAGGGGATGAGAAGTGAGGAAAAAGTATTAATATATCTTTGTATTTTTTTAAGTGCCTGAAATGTTTTATATTTTAATTTTTTAATGCTGGTTGAAATTCTACCAGGCCTATTTTAAAAAATTTTTAGTTAATGATGGATATTCAACAAGGAAAAAAAATCACTACCCCATGCCATACACAAAAGTCTTTTCCTGTTCCTAAATGTGAAAGATTAAAGAGGATAACATGAGAGATTCTATTTATGATCTGGAGATAAGCAGAGATTTTGTAAATAGTACA